AAATAAAACACTTGCCTATAATTTTTTGGATATTCTATTTATGTACATTCTTTCCTCCCATAAAACATTCTTTATGTTCTTCTCCTTATTATTAAGACTCAGGTAATCACTATATCTATAAATGAGCTCAGGTTGGACTATAGAAGGGTTCTGGAGGTTAGATAAAAGTCAGCATTCCTCAGGAACTTGTGAAACTGGCTTCCATCTGCCAAAAGGAGTCATTTTCCTTACCTCTGGCAGAAGGGACATATGGTTACTTGTGGTGCCTATTAGCATATCAAAGACCATGGTCGCCTCCAGGCTCCCTTAATATCAGAGGTACCTTTGCATTTCAAAGTACATGCTAGCATCCAGGTGCTTCTCTCTCCCTAGATACATGTCTTCCTTATCATACACATGATTTTTTCACCCCCAACTCTCACTTGGTCTCTTTTTCTCTCTCATTCACTTTCTCTTTCCCATCTCTTCTTCTTCTCTACCTTTTGTTATCCTCTCTCAATACGCTCTATTCACTATCCCTTGTTATCATGCGATGTCCACTCTTCTTCTCCTGCTTCCCTAGCCCTGGCTATATCCAGTCTGCTTTCTTTTCTCTTTGTTCTGGACTCTTCTGGATACCTCTGGATATTTTCTTTTTCACAATAAAAACTTTCCCCAAAATAATGAATAAGCCATGTTGGCTGTTTCTTTACTGTGCCCCCATGTATACACACATCTACCTGGAAAACCTCAATGTTAAAGGTTAAATCTTAACACCCCCCCCAATGACCCTCTATGATATTCCCAGAAGGTGATTCTTTCTTCCTATATCTCCACATAATCATGTATTTAGCACCTTTTTAATTCAGTGTTTAGCCTTGACCCAGAGCTTTGTACATGCAGGGCAGGTGCGTTACTACTGAACCATACTCTAGCCCAGAGGGAGAATTAGAATCTTTCATGTACAGCCAAATATTTGATTGAGAAATTTGAGGCCTACACCTTCTTCATTCTCCTTAATTTTTTTAAATCATTGAACTAAATGGCTTTGGATCATCCCCTCTATTCTGCTGTATTACTGGTGATGAGACACCACAAAAAAAGGTTTGTTGAATGAATACACTGCTGTAATCATATTCTATTAATTACAGAATTCAAGGGTATTCTGTCAATTCAAGATCTAGCAGAACACAAGAGAGTCAAGTTTCTTTACTGTATAAATATTTTACAATTACAAACCCTAAGATAGTGACCTTCTTGGTTCCTGTCCTTGATTCCATAATCCATAATAAAAGAATATGATGACAGGAGACATGGCTTGGAGTTGATGGGCATGAGTATGCCAATCACATCTAGGTCACATCTAGGGATGGAGTCTCATCCGTGCAAGTGCTTCACCATAGGGCAACAGCAAACAGGTGCATGACTGGGAACCATGCACACAGTGGACACGGGCAATACCTGGGGCAGGCTCCAGCTACCAACTTGATTACACAAGACTGGTGTGCTCTGAACACCTCTCTCTTACTCCCAAATCCTTCCTGGAATTCCTACTATTTATTTTCTACATATTAATAAACTTAATGGTGGTATCAGTGATGGTAGCTGTTGGTTATTTACAGCTCTCTTACCCTGCGAAGAAACGCCATGAAACACAACAGAATCCACTAACAAGAATTTTATTAAGATAAGGTAAAGAGACAGATGTGCACAGGCCTGTGGAAAGACACGTGAGTGGAGTAGGGCTGGGAATCATGGTGCCAGCTTATAAAGGCTGGGCCGCGCCTACACACAAGGCCCATGTGCCTATTCCACGCATGCGTGTGGATCACATGGTTGTGCTGCACATTTTTACACAACCACGCAAAGCCACGGGGTTCTGGTTATGCTAGACATTTGACCTGGAAATGACTAGGCGGAAGTGACTAGGTCCCACCGGGCATGTGCGACCATGCCCAACTGTGGGGGCTTGTTGTGAATCCATATCAGTAGCCAATACTGGATGAAAGTTTATAATTTGCTACATGCAGAATATCTTTTACAAATGAGCTTACTTAATTTTCAAAACTATCCTATAAAGAAAGCTATTTATTTATCTTAATTTTATAAATTATGTGTTGAAGCACAGCACTAATGGTGCCTTGGAGCTGAAGAATCAGGGCTTGCATGAACCAATGTGAGATAACAATTACATTTTCAGGAATTTTGTGGGCTAGTGGTTAAAAAGAGAACTGTGACAAGTTAAATTATTTAATTTAATTTAATGTTAATAAATTAAATACATCTAAAACAATAAGTATGTAAAACTATTTCTTAACTATTTTACTATTATTTGTGAACTTGAGTTATTTGTGTTTTCTCTATCTATGTGGTGAAAGTCTAAAGGGGTAAACTTATGTCTCACTTTTGGCAACATCATATAGAAACCATCTATAGTGGATATATTTACATAATGGAAAATGGATGGTACTATGAAATAAATGTTGATCATGGACATCCTCCTCTCCCAGAGCATTAAGACATATTTGATTCCCAGAGCATATTCTGTGATTCACATCCCTGGAGGAATGACATTGTCATAAACAGCCTACTTCATACTTCATGAAAAGTATCTTTCCAAAGTTGTGTTTTCTCTGACCTCTTGCCTGGCTCCCTCCCATATACAGAGGTATTGCCTCTCCCTGGTCATCTGCTTTCACTGACCTACTTCCAGATGCTTAACAGAATCTAAATTCTGCCACGCAAGGACTCACAGGCCTGCCTTATTTTTATTTTCATCCAATTTTCAATTTTCGTCCAATTTTCAACAATAGTGCTTGCCACTATATATAATTAATTGAAAACAATTATGTGCATTTCTTATTTTTCCTACTTGAATATATGTCTCTTGAGAACTAGCTATATAATTAATATCCAGTGCTAATATTTGAAGTCCAAACACAATGTCACATATAGTTAGTGACTATTTGTTTTAATGAACAAAGAATATCATAATTCAGTGGTCAGGTATTTTGTTGTTCTTTTTCTTACAGGTAACATCCTTAGAGAAGTTTTTAAATTAATTTATTCTTTGACAATCTCATACATGCGTATATAATGCATTCTGATCAGACTCATCCCCCATCCCTCTCCTATCTTCCTCCCACTAGCCCTCCTCCTCTCATCATGTACCCATCCCATTTCATTCCTTTCTGTTTTGCTCTATGACCAGGACTACTTACGTGGGCATGAGTATGAAACAATCTACTAGAAGATGAGTAACTCATCAATGGCTTACTCACTTAAGACAATGACTTCCTCTTTTCATGTATTGCTTAACTGCTGTTAGCTCCTGGGTAGAGTGGAACACTACATCTCCCCTTCCCTGTCTAAAATTGAATGGTAATGGGCTCAGTCTTGTACAGACCTATGTAGGTAAATGAATCTACATTGAGTTCTATAGCCATATCATGCCCCAAGACTGTTTGTCATAGCCCTCCTTCTCTTTATCTAACTCTTACAGTATTTCTGTCCTTTTTTTCTTCATTGTTCCCAGAACCTTTGAGGAAGGTGGATGATATGGATGCTCTGTTTAAGAGTAAGCCCTCAAAAGACACTTGTTCTCATCACTTTGACCAGCAATGGATCTACAGAAGAGAAGCTTCTTGATCAAGGCTGAGAATAGTACTAATCTACAAAGATGATTTTAATACTACTGGAAGAAGGGCTGACAAAATCAGAACACTAGATTTCAGGGCATAGCGTGGCCCTGACCATGGTGCTAAAGTGTAAGGTGCTGATAATAGCAGGATGTGAATGGACTTCCAGGGAACAAAACTCTAGGAGGTTGGCTCTGACCATCCTTCTTCTCAACTTCCCACTTTGTTGAGGCTCAGTCCTATAGATATCAAGCAGCAAAGAGGTCTCTGTGTGTGATTACTTCTAAGTGAAACCAAAAGTGATCAGTAATTGTAAAAATAACCTTGCACAGGGCCTAAGGAGACCTGGGTTTGAATTCTGGATGTGTTAGATAGCCTTAACGACTCTGATTTTGTGCTAGTCCCTGTGTCCACACTGTCACTGAACCTTGGTCATACTTTGCTGTGATTCTGGGCTTATTGTTTTCATCATCTGTAGCCAACAGAATGAGAAGTGACCATATAACATCTCCAACGTCATGTGTATGTTCTCACTTGCTCTCTTCAATCTTTGCTGAAGCTCTGAGTGAGACTTTCTCCATCAATCCATCAGGAGGGAGAATGACACATGGAGCAAACCTATGTCCCGTAGAGCCAGTTTTAATTAGCTTACCATTTGTGCCATGTCAAATGTGTTCCTGGTCATAAGTAGTTCTTGTTAAGTGTCTGAGATTCATAGCAGTTTATTAAACAGCAGGAACCAACTGATATGCAGGATCCTCTGATTTGATTCTGATAGTTACACTATAAAATGGGTGTCTTAACCACGAAAAAATTGTTTGCTAACAAATCCAGTGTCTGGAAGGCCAAGATGAAGATATTAACCATTCAATTCCCTATAGGGATCTTTGTGGCTTGCACCTGGCTTTATTTATTTATTTTGTTTTTGCTCCAATCTTACATGGATTTTCCTTTTTTAAAATATAAGAAGGGAATATTGAGAAAGAAAAAAAGAGGCCATTTCTTGGTGTCTCTACGTCTAAGGACATTAATCTTGAAGGACCAGGTCTTACCCTTTAGACTTTATTCAAGCATAACTGCATTTTATAGCACCATCTTCAAATATATACACTCTAGGGGACATAAAGCTTACATAAAGTAATTTTGTGTTGTTGTGACAACATACTATGACATACTAGACATACTATGATATATAACATACTTGAACATACTTGACAGTTTTAGAAGGTTTAGTCCAAAGTCACTTAAATCCATACACATAGGCATATCATCATGTTGGTAGGAGCATGTGGTGGAGGGGAGCTTTTCAATTCATGGCCAACAAGACACAGGTAGCATTATAGGAAAGAATAACATTATCCCCAAGGACTTGTCCCCAAATACCTTCTCATTCAAGTCAGGTGTCATCTTTCAAAGTTATCAAAACTTCCTCGGGTAGAACCACCTTGTTGGGGAGTACTTCATATCCAACCAAAATCCAACCAAAATATGCTTGAATTTTGAAATACTATATGCCTCACTCAGGAATCTTTTATTTATCTGAAAAACATGGGTACCTAGTTATAATACTCATTCAGTAAATATGTAAAGCAAGGAGACAAAGATGTTCTTTTTTGCCACAAAATCCTACAAAGTTGATGATGTATAAGAGAAATCATTCTCTGCTGAGGTTAAGGTTTGGGTGAGTAAGGAGGGTCACAGATGCCCAATGCTTGAGCAGGTTTGAATACATTTAAGTGTATTGAGCAGAGAATATAATGATTTCATGTGATTAAAAAACTTTTAAGTCAGTATTTAGCACCTCAATATGGTTATTTAATTAAAATGAGTGATTGAGTTTATTAGGATAATAATAGTATTTGTCTGTCTATCACTGTCCATGAAAAATTCAAGGACACAAGGCAGAACGAAGTCTGAATCATGGGGAAGCAGAGTTCTGCTTGACTAACAAGAATCACACAGGGGAAGGAAGGACTGCTGTCTGGCCTGCTGGCTCAAGGGCTGCCTTGGGCAGTCAGCAACTCCTGCTTTCCACCTCCACGTCCTACAAGCACACCAGGGGCAATAACTGTATGCCACACTGCTTCCTTGTATTTTTCCAAACCTGACTGTGATTGGCCTCAGTGCCCGCCTAGTTGTTCAAATGAGAGATCTGAGTCACCTTCAGCTCCCTCACAGCCTGAATGGAACCCATGTTTGCATTTCTCCACTGATGTAAAGAAATCTGACATTGCTTTAACTGCAAGCACTGAGGACTACACTGTGATTGAGATAACAAGCATAAGGCATTTCTTTAAATCATCACCATCATCCAGAATGTGGGTGTACTCTCTCTGTTACAGTGAATAAACAGGATTCTCAGTGTGGCTAATGACTTTTTCAGAACCAGGCATTTGAACCTAGTCTCATGGGCCCTTTCTGTACTGTAGACCAGCTACAGTTCAGATGTTCCTGTTTCTTCTTCCCACCCCCATGATTAAATTTTGTAACTGGGCACTTGTCTATGGTCCCCCATAGCTGTCCATCATCAATTTGCTCATCCCACATAAGACAGTAGTTACTCGACTGGGAGCTGCATGCCACTTGTCTTAGTCCTTCCTCTATTGCTAGTATCAGCTTAACGGCCCATGTCCATGTACCTGCTCTATACACATGCTTATAAATTAAATTTCTTCACTTCTACTTACCAAGTATGACATCTTACATGGAAAAAGAAAGAAGAAAACACCCCCTCATCCATCTGTTCTTTTCTTTAAGAAAAAATTCTGGTGAATTTCCAAAATGGCCACAACTCCCTTCAGGAGTTTCTGCCTTAACACCAGAACAGCAGAAGTTTTGTGCTATTTAGCTTTGCCAGTCAACTTGACACAGCTTATCTGAGAGGTTGGCCTGTAAGCATGCAACAGGGTTGTCTTGATTGTAAACTAATGTACAAGGGCTCAGCCCATTCTGGGTAGTAGCCTTCCCAAGGTAAGTGGTCCTGGAATAGCTAAACATGAACCTGCCAGAAAGACAACAGGCAGCAATCCTCCCATGGCTTCTACTTTCAGTTTCTGCTCGAGTTCCTGCCCTGACTTCCCTCAATGATGTCTGGAACCAGTGTGCTAAAATAAATCTTTTTTTCCCCAAGTTGATTTTGGTCATGGTGTTTATAACAGCAGTAGAAAGGAGACCAGGACAACTCACAATACCCACAATTGGAGGGAACAATACTTATTATGGCTTGCTACTATGTGTGTCCCAGGAAATGCTGGGAAATGCTCTATATGTCCCACTGAGAGCCTGGAGAAGCCAGAACATCCCTTCCTTCCAGAAACCCCAAACAACTTCACTCTTGCTTTCTTATAGCCTTTTGTAGACCTTATAGCCAAGTTATATTCTCTTAAAAAATACAGCAACAAAAACAAAACAAAAAATAGTGATGCATAGCCCCAGGTATGTAAAACATGTCCTGGCTGCCTTACCTGTTTCCCTCTCTTCAATGCCACCGCTTAGCATTTTCTTTACTGTTCCACTATTTCTTCATTCCAGAATTAATGGCTGGGCACAAGCAGACTGAAGACTTTAACATTGCCTGCTGTTCCATTAAAACAAAACAAAAGCAAAGTGAGCTGGTTTCCTGAGGAGGAAAAAGAGCTGCCAATCATTCCAGCCTTTAAGAAATCCCTGGGTTTTCCTGGCAGAAAAGAAAACCAATGTTTACTCCAGGACAGGAAATGAGATGGATTTTCTTCTTCTGCCTTTTTTTCTTCCTTGCTTGCCCTTTTTTTCCCTACAGGGGAAAGTGACTGAAAGAACTTTTTAAAAATCATAGTCTCAAACCAAACAATCTCACCCTAGCAGGAGAGAGATTAAAAAGTCCTGCTGTATTACTTTCTGCAGTGAGGATATTTCTAGGTTGTTCTGCATGGGCAGAAGCCCAGAAAAAGGAGTGGGTGAGCTGCCCTGGGGTATGAGGACTAGGGCTTAGAGAATCCCATGTTTTGCAGACAGCAAAAAGCAAGGCTTACTTCCAATACTTAGTCATTTTCTCAGCATTGTCTCTGTCCAAATTTCAAGCTTCAGAATCTTAGGAACATGGGTGCAGTGACTTCTAAGGCCAACTACCCTGTGCTACATTTGACTGTGTCCCTAAAGCTCAGGTGTTGGAAATTTAATGCACAACTAACAATCAGGAGGCAGTGGTTAAGAGGTCATTGGGTCAGCCAGATGTGGTGGTGGTGGTGCACACTTTTAATCCCAGCACTTGAGAGGCAGAGGCAGGCAGATCTCTGTAAGTTTGAAGTCAGAATGGACTACAGATTGACTTACAGGTCAGACAGGGCTACACAGAGAAGAGAAACCCTGTCTTGGAGAAAAAAAAAAAACAAGATCAAAAACAAAAAAACCAGAGGTCATTGGGTCAAATATCCATGCATGGAGTCACATGGTTTTCAGGAAGCAGGCCTATTACACCAGCAAGTCCTAGTATATGGGGTCTCCTTTGCCTCTGTTGCTTTTCCTGCAGTGGGGTGATACAACAAGAAGCACCACCCCTTCCATGTTGGCCTTTTGATGTTAGAGACCTTAACTTCCAGAACTATAAGAAATGACTCTCCACTCTTTATAAATTATCCAACCTAAGGGTTCTGCTATAGCATCAGAAAACAAAGCAGACCTCCAAACTGAGCCAAACTTCAAAAGTTCAATGAACAGCCCTGTAGAAGCTTGCCTTCTTTCATATATCAGTGCGGTCAGTGCCTCCACCTATTCTCACTTCTGATGGCTGGCTACACACTCAGGGTTCCTATGACAACTTCAAGTTTGAAAATTCACTGGAAGGATTCCAAGAACTCGGGAAAATGCTGCCCAATACTCATTTGGGTATATGCTGGAGACCATGCTAGTACAGTAAATATGCCTCCTCCCCACCCCCATGCTATTATAAAGTTTAATTTGTAAATTAGCTACAATTAGAGATAAATAGCAACTGGCAAAATAGAACATAAAATTATGACATATGTTATGATGAGTCTAAAACGCACCCCATGGACTTCTGTGTTTGAACACTCAGTCCTCAGCTTCTTGGGAATATCTTAGGGATTGGGAGTTCCCAGTTAGTAGAGATGGATTACTGGGAGTTTACAGTTCCTTTGCTTTCTGCTTCCTGACCTACCATGATGTTAGCAAGCTAAGCCTCAAATACCACCATGAATTAAGGCTTTCCGGTAGCTATTTGCTATGCCTTCCCTACCATGATGGACTATTAGTAATTTCCTCACCCTCCTAGTCTCTGATAACTGCTATTCTATTGTTGAGCTGTACAAGATTCATTTCCTTAGATCACCATAAAGTTGATATCATATAGTACTTGTCTTTCTGTGATTAACTTCTTTCCCTTAAAACATAGACATAAGGCAGGATTTCATCTTTTTATGGCTGAATTGCATTCCGTAATACATACATATATATACATATACATATATATATATATATATATATATATATATATATATATATATATATATATACCATGTTTTCTTTATCTCTTCATCAATTTATGAACACTTGCACTGTTCTCATTTCTTGGATGGAATTCTCAATCACTGTATCTTTACAGTAATCCTTACATTTGCATGGCATCAGTCTTCTCTCCTAGTTCTTCAGAATCATTGGTCATTCTGAGTCTTCCGTTTCTCCACTTGAACTTTAAAATTAGTTCTTAAATATTCACAATTTTGACTTGACAGGGATTGTGTTGAATCTGTTGGCGAAGGTGGGATGAACTGATGTCATTTCATCTGTGAACATGAGATAATCTCTATATTTTTCTGGTCCGTTGATTTTTTTTCATTAGAGTTTTAAAATATTCCTTATATTGTGCTTGTGCATATTTTACTAGATTAGTGCTTCAGTACTTTATTTTGGAGCCTAGTACATAATACAAAAACATATTGTTTTTAATTTCAAATTACAGTAGCTCTTTGCCAGTCTATATGAAAGTGATGGACTTTTGAATATTTACTTTGTACCTTTCAATCTTTGTTATATATAATCACTTTACAGTTCTAAAAATTTTGTTGTCTTCCGGATTTTCTATATAGACAATTATATTGTTAGCAAATATAATTTTATTTCATCTTTCTTCTATTTAAAAAAATCATATACTAAGGAGAGTTTGAATTACTTTTGTCCATCTCATTTATTCCCTGAATGTAACAATAATTACTGTTTTAGTTATATTTTACAGACACTTGCAATGCCTACTTAGATTTGTAGATGGGTGCATCCTTACCAGTTTGACACAGAATTTAATCTCACTCTGTATTCAGACTACAACTATTTTCTCTTCATTTATTCACATTATGCCACAGTAGTGCACATAGCTGCTTTTTGAGATGTACAATCACCCAGTTAGCAGGACTGTGTCTCACAGATAGGAAGTCATTTCTCAGCTTCCACTGTAACAGAGAACATTACTGCAGAGAGTATCACTTTGTGCCAGAATATGCAAGAATATTTGTAGTATGAAACTCTAGGAAAGTAAGTCATATTTAAAATTTGTTTGAAACTTGTTTTCAATTTTGACAGTTAGGGGCTTATAAATCATTAGTCTTGTCTTTCAAAGAAAATCTGAGAAAATTAAAAGTCAATGACTTTTGTTGGACCAATTAGAGAATGAAACAAATGCATGGAAATCTATGTAAGACAGGCACACTCAGAGGCACACAGCAAGTCAAAGGTGCTGGAGCCATAGACATGGAGATGCTTATGTGGGCTTTTCATGGATTTCTGCAGGGTAAGTGTGGATGCTGCACAACTAATTCCTGAGTGGGGATTCTCTAAACTCTCCTTTGTTTTATCTCCAAGAACCAACCATGTTTTACTAGTTCCAGTGATAAAAAGGAGAGATAATTTTGTAAAATATAGTCATAAATTCTTCTACTGATAAGGCCCATTTTCCAGGAAAATGACTGCTGAGACTCATTCTAGATGAGGCATGGGCCCACAGCTCCTACTTGGCTTGCAGTCTTATTACATGGGAAAAAACATAGAAAATTAAGAGGGCTTGAGTATCTAGTAAACAGACTGAGAAATACTGTTGTCAGAGTACAGTGGGCACAGTGGAGAAAATAAAACATGGGAAGAAATACTTGCAAAAGTCACGGCACCTGCATTTTCTATTCAGGCAAATGTATTGCTTTTCTGCAAGTCAGTTTGTAGGAGCTGAAGAGAGAATGAGGCATCTTTGTGGAAAGAATGGGTCCTGATAGGATTAGAGAAGTGATTAGGGAAGACTGTCAGAAGAAGCAGGTACAGTAACAGAGTGTGACCTTCAGTTGCTGGATAGATAAATAAGCTCTGACATCTATGCTGGAAATATTATTTAGTAATAAAAAATGAAATGAGCTATTGAGCTTCAAAAAAGATGTGGACTAACATTGGCACATGCTTCTCAATAAAGCAGCCAGTCTGAAGACACTGTACCCTGTTTGATACTTACCTCTTCTTTATAGCTGAATAAAACTACAGTGTGTGTGCCACCTGTTGTTTATTTGTTCTCCAATTCAGGGGGCACCTGCTGTGCTCTCTTAGATCTTGTGTCCCAAAACAAAGAACTTGAGCAAGGACATATAGTCATAGAAGTAGATACTGTAGATGCCTGGGTGGATTTATATCATGCCTATTGGGAATAGTGCAGCACTAACATGGATGTGAAGTATCTCTGGTGTGTTGAGTTCTTAAGAGTTGCTGAGGCTGAGCTACATGGTGGCCCCCATTTTGGTGTTTTGAGGAACCTCTGTTCTGATTTCCACAGAAGCTGAGCCCATTTTCGCCTCCGTAGCAGTGTACAGGATTCCCTGTCTGCCTGTGCTCTCATCATCCCTTGTTTGCTTTGATGACGATTGTTCTTACTGGAGTGAGAAAGAGTCATTGTAATTTTGACTTACACTTCTCTCCTAGCTAGGGATGTTTGTAGTTGGTTGTTTTTTGGCTCTTTTTTTTGGGAGGGGGCGCCACTCAGCTCCCAAATATATCACACAGGGAGACTTATTCTTAATTGTAAATGCCCAGCCTTACCTCGGCTTGTTTCTTGCCAGCTTTTCTTAATTTAAATTATACCATCTACCTTTTGCCTCTGGGTTTTTTCCTTTTCTTACTTCTATAAATCTTACTTTCACTCTTATTCCATGGCTGGCTGGGTGGCTGGGTGGCTGACCCTTGGCATCCATCCCCCTCTCCTGTTCTCTTGCTCTCTTTTCTTTCTTTTCCTTCCAGTTTTCTCCTTCTATTTATTCTCTCTGCCTGCCAGCCCTGCCTATCCTTTCTCCTGTCTCACTATTGGCCATTCAGCTTTTTATTAGACTGTCAGGTGTTTTAGACAGTCACAATAACACAGCTTCACAGGGTTAAACAAATGCAAAATAAACAAATGCAACACATCTTTGCAGCATTAAACAAAGGTTCCACAGCATAAACAAATATAACACATCTTAAAATAATATTCTATAACAGATGTTGAACATTTTTTTTTGTGTGTGTGTGTTTATTGGCCTGCATTGTTGAGAATCTTGTTTCATTTCTTTAACGAACATATTGATTGAATTTTGGTGGTTTTTTTTTGTCTTTAGAGTTCTGAGTTATTTGTATATTTTGGTTATTAGGCTTATATCAGAAATATATATATATATATATATCCTCCATTCTATAGAGTCTCATTGTATTAATGGGCAAATGACTTTTTAAAAAAGATCTAGAAAAGTGAGGTTTCCAAGATGATTTGTAGAATATTATCTAACTGCATCAGAAGTATATGCAGCAACTTCACAGCCAGAGGTAGAGGCATGGAATGTTAACCTCAGTAATGTTGGAAATGAATGGAGCCCATAAGAGCAAAGGCAAGAATAAACATGCATAGCCTTGATAAAGCTGTTCCCCAGTAGGTGCAGGCTAACAATGCTAAAAACATGTAAATTCTAAACACATGTAAATTCAACAATTAAGTATATGGATGGTGGCTCCTGGAAGCCAGGCTTCTTACTGTTAGAGTGGGAGGTTGCAATAAATGAAGAAATAAAGGAAGAATAATCTGGGTGGTGATGGATTAAAATTGAAGATGACAGTATGAATACATGTTTTGCCTACTGTGGATTTGGTTGTTTGCTTATAGAAACATAAATAGCTATGTATATATAAAGAGATTTGCATACACAGTCATTTTCTCATTCTGTCAGCTGGGAGGATCTAGAAATAAAGACACCACAGAGACAATGATTGTGCTCTCTGGTCTTAGCTACTAATACTATAGCCTAATAAAAAGAATAAAGCCTCTTTAGAAAAATGTCTGATTTTGAGATGGGGTATGTGGGTGAGGTGAGCTGGAAACATCTTATGGCACTGGAAAAGAAGGAACTGTTGGTTTTAAACATAGTAGTAGGCTGTATTATAAGAGAACATTGGAGCCTATTGAATGAGCTCCCAAGGAAAAACCTGAAACAGCTTCGGCAATAAAATAGATAAACTAAATAAGATTAAAATTTGAAGCATAGATAAAACCAATGAATTGCATGGGTATAAATAAATGTTGAGTAAATAAATGAAGACAAAAGTCTCCTGTTCAGAAGAATGCCAGATTATTTTAAGTAGACAACCCCCTATCAAAGAGTGTGAGCATACCTCTCTACTCCTACAGGCATGGATCTGAGTCCAGCAGGCACCAGAGATCTCTAAGTTCTGTGTCTCAGAACAAAGAACTGGATGGGCATCTGGACAATAGTAGAAACAATCAATTTTGTGAGAAAGAAGAAGGCACTCTGAAAGCAGAAGTGGGCTAAAGTGTAGCTGAAGTTATCCTGTTCCTGCCCGGCTCCCACGGCCCTCAGACTCAAGCAAACACACAGAGACTTATATTATTTATAAACTGTATGGTCTAATGGCTCAAGGTTCTTGCTAGCTGTTCTCGTGTCTTAAATGAACCCATTTCTATAAATCTATACCTTGCCACGTGGCTCATGGCTTACCAGTACTTTACATCCTGCTTCCCACGGTAGTGGCTGGTAGAGTCTATTTATCAATCAATCATCCATAGCACTAAAGGGCTTAGAAAAGTCTCTGGCTCAAAATCCCTGGGCATTAAGCTTTGGGACCCCATGTTCTTCCACACTTGGAAACCATGGGCTTTTTGCCCATGTAGTTTTGCTATATGTAGCCTCTGTGTGTGTTTCTGTAGTGGTAGTGGGGTCCAGTCTTCTTCTGCTATTAGCTTCTTTCATAATTTAATCTTTTTTATTGGAGACAGGGTCTCACTGTGTTGCCCTGGCTGGCCTGAAACTCACAGAGATAGATTCTCTAGAAGGAAACTGGGTAGTTAGATTGGGATCCCTGCAGACAGAGAAAGAAAAGGTCTTTAGTCTGGTTTCAGGGTTTAATCTGGGCTGTGGTCTGGTGGTTATCCAGTTGACCATGAATATGATATTTTAGAAGAAATTCCTCATATTTCAAATAATTTTTTTTCTCATGTAAGGTGTTGATAAGTGGCCAGATGTTCCTTGGAGACACCACAGCACCACCTTCCATCTGCTTAACTGCCTTCTGCAGTAAAATAGGCAGGAAAGGGAAGAATGCTTTGCATACAGTGTTGATAAGGATGTGCACAGCTTGTTTTCCTTGGATAATAGGTTATGCATTAAGGTTGGAGTTTAGATGCTTCTTGTCCTAATGGTCCTGCTGCCTCAACAGTAATATAAGATGCTAATAACTAGAGAAATGTATGTGGAAAATATAAGAACCTTCTATCCTCTCTATTTTCATACAAATCTAAACTATTTTAAACTTTAAGATTAATTAACATTTTATTGATATTGACAAATTACTCAATAGAAATATCCTAATACACACATCCACCAACTATGCATGAGGTATTATATCTCTGTACCCTTGACAAAAATGAATATTATCAGTCCTTTTAGTATTGGTAAATTTGAAAGATGATAAATGATATCTCATTGCTTAAATTTGCATTTTAAATAATGAATGAGTTTTAGAGTCTTCCTAGTCATTGATTGTCCATTTATATGTTTTTCCTTCAAGCTGCATGCTGCTTTCCATTGCTCATTTTTCAAACTGGTTGTCAGTTCTTTTATTCTTTTTTCTCTCTTTTTCTGGTGTAGAACTTTTAGTATGGTAAAAACAAAACATTGACAGGTTTTTTTTTTTTTCCGGAATTTGGTAAACATTTTTTCAAACTATTTCCCTTGACATTCTCTCTCTCCCATCTTTTACTATGAAGACATTTTAAAGGCTTTATGTAATCATATCTCTGACTTTATTCATAGTTTCAGGATTTAATCACACTCTCATTTCATCCCCATATTATGCTCGTAGTGGTTTGATTATTGTAAATGGTTCTTTTGAAGCAGGTTCCTAAT